TTAGGACACTTAACCCTGAAACACCCTGTATATATGCATATTTATAGAAAAATGTTTGTAACCTTAAATTGACGACATTTTCGTGACCTTAAATTAATCTCTTGTTTACACACTGCAAATGTACATAATAAGTTGCATGTAGGGAAAAGGAAAAGAGTATTTCACGTCATTTCAAGCAAAAAGATTCATGTAAACCATGGATCGATTCGGCTTCATTTCCAAGATATGAATTGAAATGCCAATGTATCATACCAGAGACTTCGTACAAAATGTGAAATGTCTGGTTTGACTCCTGCGAGGTCTCTCAATGCGAAAACCGTACACGAATAACATGTTAGTGTATTTCTCCTTTAAACCCGACGTTTCACCGTAACACCTTTTCATGCACGTTTCATTGACACAAAGATTGACGTTACTCACATTTGTCGCAGCATAACAATAACGTTACAGTAATGCACACTCTGCTAGTACTTGACAGAAACAAACAACTAGAAGTTCTCGCATTTCTTGTTTCTACGATATCTTCAGAACATTGGCATTCCAGCCATATCGTAGGATTAAAGTCTAATCGTCCTACGGTGTACATATATGGAGTTGGTTTGCTTAAAATGACGAAACGCACAAAGTTTGTCGATTTCGTGACGGGATACCCTGTATATCATTCAACGAATTGTGTCTAGTACAATGGGAAAGTTTTATTACTTTTCATTTTACCTGAAAATATTTTGTAACTAATCGCATTGCCCAAAACTAATAAGAGTTTATATTATTAGTCTCTTGTTAGTAAAGCTGAATTAGCAACGGCAGCTATTTTAATAATGTCCGGGAAAGATTTGCATTCTTTTAAAGTATTAAAAAGCTACTTTACGATACACTTTCTTCCTAGCATATTTTAATTAAAAAATCATTTTGGTAAATAACCTAAATGGATCAACCACATTAAAATCCACAAAGGAAAAACAAGGGTTTCGTAGACAGTTTTGTCTTCTCAGCAATTCACTGCGCTTTATTACAAATGAATCTACGATGTGCAAACTTACATGAACGATTGCCTATCAAACGCAAAACTTACTTCTAGAACTGTATTGTCGTGCGTGAAAACAAACCTAAAACTTCGAATCCATTTTCAGTTATTAAAAGGATTGCCCTTGAACCTAGTACGCACACCTAAGGAAATTGTTGACAAACATTATTTGTGAATTATGGAACATTATCTTTTTTCCATTCTTTGATAAAGTTGTAATTTAAACTTTCCAGAAATTATACCTTTATTTTATCTCTCATGTAGAATACTATTATATTATTATAAACATATCGAATCAATATCTATCCTTTTTCAAAAGTTGCAGAAAAATTTATACACTTTCTGCATTTTATTTTAAATCAACTGTTTGTCTGATAAGACAAAGTAGCAATGTTATAAAACGACAATCTTGACATTTGATTAGTGAAAGCAAAAGATTATTAATTTTACCGGATATTAGTTGCAAAATTTGTATCTAAATAATACAATTCTTTTACATTGATTTCTCGGATTTCGAATCTTCGTTGAAAAGATTCACTTATAAAGTGAGCACGTCGCTTACAATATGTATCCAAAAATAATGTTTGTCAATATTATTTGAAAGTGTGTACCAAGTTTCACCAGTATAACACTATAATATACTGGCAAATAGATGAGTTTCAGAAAGTAGAAGAATAAAACATCGTAAGGATCTCTTTGCTTCCACTTTTGTAATATTAATCTCCGCCGATGAAAAATATAGCAAATGATACATATAGGTTAATAGATTCGTGAAACGTAATACATAAAGTCTTATTCCATAAAATTTATCAACTAGACTTCCTTATTGAAATATGAAGAACAATCCAAATCTAGATCATCACGCGGAGCAAAAATCAAATTTCAATCTGTTTAATCGCGAAACAGGAGGAAAGATAATTATCGAAGTTATGTATACGGTGTGAATAAAAGAGAAGCACATAAGAAAAAAGGGAATATTCATGTTATAGAGAAACTAATCACGTATCCAAATTGACGAAACACGTAGTATCGATTCAAATATATATAGATCTGTTTAACGTTGTATGTATTCAAATGATAGAAGAACGTGAAGAAGCGTGCGAGTGTTGCTATAGAGGGTAATGGAATACCTTTTTTTTCTTTCAATCTCAACATAGATTATTCGGCATTCGTTGGATACGCGCGCACTCATTCTTATCCTCTCGCACACTCTTCAATCAGCTCAGTCCCTGGAAACATACGTGACAAATAGATCACTCGCGTGAGAAGAAAACGGTTTCGCGCTCGATCATTTTGATTGGGATTAATTGACGTAGCTCTTACCTAGACTTGGAACGACTGTCTTTCTGCCTGTCCTGAGACTTGCTGCGCGAACGTGACTTCCCGCGCGAGCTCTTGCTGTCCGAACGGGAGCGACTGCGGCTACGGCTGTAAGAGCGCCGGCGATCTCTGTCGCGGCTACGCGACCTGCTGCGAGATCGAGATCGCGAACGCCTGCGGTCTCTGCTTCTGCTTCGTGATCTGCGAACGCATTTAGGTGTAAACTTGTTATAAACGAAATGTGTCTGCGCGATGGACAATTGATAATCCACTCGTTCCATCTCTCGTTCTACTAATACATCAACGTTCTGAAAGTGAAAAACGTACCTTCCACGACGACGACTTCCACGACTACGATGCGGAGATGTTGGACGTCCGTATCGCGCCATTTGGACTCGGAGCTCCCTGCCATCCAACAGCCGTCCGTCCATGGCATCTAATGCGTCCTCGGCGTCGCGCTTGTCATAAAATCTGCCAAGAAATATAAATATGAAGAACTCCGATTTGCGCCTCAATATTTTCAGCACTTCATTATTTTCTTAATATACAGAGTGTCTGTGCATATTCGGACAAATGTCTCGCAACTGGGCAAAAACTACGAGAAAATGTGACAAGAGAAATTTACATGATTTTTAGTGCAACGAAGCACATCTAAAAAGACTTTTTACTCTTGACCCTTTCAAGTTAATCACCATCGCTTTTTTAAATGGGTTCGTACTTCTTTTTGCAGATTTATGTAGTCGGAATCAATAAAGAGATTAAATTCACGTTTTTAGTAAAAAATTGCTACTATACATCATTTATAGGATAAACGACATCTCAAAAATTAAAGTAGCCAACTGAATTGTAAGCACTTTTAAACCGCTGACCAAAATCATGTACACCAATGCCCACTAATGCCCAGTGGGCATTACTTTATCTTATCGTATTTTATCTTTTTAGATTCTTTATAATAACTTCAAGTTTTTTTTACCGTATCTGGCTATTTTAATATTCCAAACTCGCTACGTTTCGACCATGGGTTTTGGTCCTTTTCAAGCGAGAAAAAACTGTGATAATCAAACGCTTAGATTTGTGTAATAAATAGTAGATTTAGTATAATTTAGTGTATAACTTAGATGCAACGGATTCAGTAACGGTTGACTTGAGAAGCTCATGTTAGTGTCAAACTTTGTAAAAGAGAACCTCGTTGGAGAGATGACGGAACGTAATTCTTTATAATGCCCCAGCAAGGCCAATTAACACCCACTAATGTCCAAAAAATGAGATGTATTAAATGCTTAGTAATGCCCAAAATCTGTACGCCACAATACCCTCGGCGGTTTGTCCCTCGCTTTTGAATTTGGGTTGAAATATCGAAGGAGTTGAAAAGATAAAAAATAATATCATCATCAAAGACATCAAAGAAATTTATCTTACAATATAAACGCAAACATTCCAATTTTATAAAACTGACATTTTATGGCCGGGTTTGCAGTTTGAATGTTGTAAATCAATCACCGGTATTCACAGGCCATTCCATTTCAAGATCGTTTTAAGTAATATCTTAAAATGCTAATGTAACTCTGCGACTTTACAACACACTGGCCGGTATTCACGGTCAGATCTTATATTTAAGCCGGGTTGGGAAGTAACTCTAACTTAACTTCGTTACTTTCTCTACATCTGTAACTGTAACTTAACTCAGTTACATTTTTTCAATAACTAGTAACTAATTTAATAGTTACTTTATATATATTTTCAACCTCCACAGATCGCATTAGGTCTTGCATTTGCGCATAAATGCCTCTATCCCCTGCCGGAAATAATTCTACAAAATTCTACAAAAAAAAATTAAATATAACTGCCAGAATCTAAGAAATTCTACGTAAATTTAAGTGTTATAAAAATCAACATAAAAATGCTAGAATTGGAACACTTTTGTTAATTTTTGTAATATTCTACAAGTAAGCAGATGTTTTAATTCTTTAAGATTTCGTTGTTTCTCAAATTTTTGAAACTAGTACAGTTTTGTACTAATTTTTACAAAATTGTGCATTTTCATAAAATACTACTTGCAATAATTTCTTGATTTGAGAACATTGTAATTTGTGATACTATTTTATAAATATTTTTACAAAGAAATAAATGTTTCAACGAAGATATAAAAATTTCTACAAATTTCTATTTCAAGTCAATTTTTTGTAGTTATTTATATAAATTTTTTCCGCTAGAGTCGCCGCTTTACAATTCAGATGCAGATTCAATATTATTATTTCTATTGCAAGGGAGTAACTGCAAAGTAACGATTCGTTACTTTTCGAGTAACTGTAACAGTAACGCGTTACTTTTCAGAATTGGTAACTTGTAACTGTAATTAGTTACATTGTTAGCGAAAAAACTGTAACTGTAACTAGTTACTTTTATAAAGTAACTTTCCCAACCCTGTATTTAAGACCGTCTTGAGTTTATGGAACATTTTATTGGCTACGGAATATCTAAAGACGATTTTAAATATGAGATCTGACTCTCTGAATTTTTTTGAGTGAGATTTCACTCGAAGAAATAATAAAAATACTGCCAGTCCGACCGGAGTGCAATTTCACTTTTTGAAAGAGCGCCGTTATTAGCTTCGCTATTGTTTGTTCACTATGATCATCGCATATAAAGGCTGTATTCTAACATTCACAGCTAGTACTGAAAATCTATACTTTATGTGACAGTTTCGCTTATTCTGCTGCTTGTCGAGGGAGAACCGCCCCGGCCCGTGAGTCCCGGAGTCCTTTATATGCCGGGCTATCGTGATCTTACTTAAGAGTTCAGCGGTCATCTAGCGGCGGAATGCCGTACTTTAAGTTGGAGTAAATCACGGAGTGCTAACGACTTCATTTTAAAAATAGGAGTGAAATTCTTCACTTTTTATCTTAGAGTGAAAATTTCACCTCAAATAAGAATGAATTACTGTTGAACATGAATACCGGCCAGAGAGCAGTATTAGCATCTCAAGGCTCAAGGTACGTTATTACATATTTAGACACACTTGTATGTCTCGAAAGGTTAATTATGTAAATAATGTGTAAAAGTTAATGGTGTATTAAAAAATTGCGCATGAAGCGCGCTTTGTAGTATATACAAAATAAATAATAGTTATCTTATATATCTTAACCGAATCTCGGGGCCCCTTAACATTGGGGGCCCTGGTGCGGTGCATCCGCCGCATCCCCCCTTTGCACGGCCCTGGCGTCGATTGGCTACAAGCTAGAAAATTTCTCGAGAACTAGTCTATCTTGCAGCCAATCAACACGCTTGAAAAATTTATCGTACGACAAATGTAATACCAGCCTAAGCCATTAAGATAGTCTTGAAATAAGAACGAACTATAAATGCCGGCCTACGTGGCAATTTCTGAAATGTATGAATATGCTCAAAAAAATTATTACTCTGTTTTTTTTAATCTATTGTGGTCGCGATAATTTTACTGAAACAAGACTGCAATAAGTCTGCACGTAACAATGATTGTATGTACACGTCATAAGATTTTTTTCAAAATGATACGTGTATCATTTCACGTATCTCCAGAAATGTATCTAACAATAAGAAACAAAGTCTGCGGGGAAAAATTCTTTTCATGCTGCTTGAATAATGTCACCTGGAAACAAACTCATTTCATTAGTCATAAAAATTGTTACTCTCAAAGTATAGAACGTAAGCTTCATTAATCTTCATTAGAAAATAAGAAATTATATTTTACTTTGATTCACGATTATCGCTCATATATCAAAGCGCACATCACCGCGTTACTTTGCAAATACCAGCTTGACTCTTGTTTAATTATATAAATTAAACTTTTATAAAATCGCGACTGTTTACGTCAAAACTCTACAAATTGTAAGATTAAGTACTGTAGTACTTTGCAAAGTAGGGATTTCCCGTTTTACATATGTTTCATTAATATCTGGGCAGAGATAAAAAATCTCGAAAGCTCTATATATTCCGAAACGGGGAACAATTTGCATTCTACGAGCAATAGCGAGTTTATCCAGCAAGTTGGACTGCATAAAAATAAGCCCGGAACAATAAATTCTCTCGTGCCGATTCGGTCATTTCCACGAAATCGGCGAGGTTTGCCGGCAGCGTCGCCTCCACATTAACAATCTACCGTTTTTTCACGTCGCGTCGTGAAAAAAAATGATCGCGGCGAAAAATGCATAGCGGGATGGCATTCCAGACGCGAAAGTACCGAACTGGCGCGCGCTCGCGTCGTGACGTCAGCGTATCGTTGGCGTCGATCCGCAACATCACCCATGAAAGCGGTCAATTGAACGTATTGCCCAGCGGACGTGGCGGAGCACACGGCGCACACGGCGTGGACGCCATATAACGTAGCGGGATTCACCTGACGAACGCGAAGCCACGGCTCTCACGCGTGAAGCGGTCCCTGGGGATGTAAATGTCGCCGACCTCGCCGCATCGCTCGAACACGCGTCTCAGGTCTTCCGGCGTCGTTCTGTACGTGAGATTGTCGACCTTCAGAGAAACCATCCCGTCGATGCGGGGCGGCGGCCTGCCGTAGCTCATTCTTCCCTTCCGAATGTTACGCGTCCTTGATCTTCGTGATAAAACACAGTGGGATCCTCTCCGACAGATTGCAATGAAATGGTCACTCTGCTCGGGACTGTATCCGCACACACCACCGACGGAGGAAAATGGCGGAGAGTGCGAGTGAACGAGGTGACGACGATGGCGGAATATCCGCTGGCGTGATCAGCAAGCTCTACACCACACATTGAGCGGTGTTGAGAGATGGTGAAGTAAACAGGTCGCATACTAATGCGCACGCGCGGCTACGTCATCGACTATGTGACTGGCTGGGTCTATACCACGAGTCTGTTCGTGTCGCGTGCCCCGATATGCTCTTGCTTGCCCCAATACCGTCACTTAAATCGTAAATAAAATGACGGTATTGGTCATTGGGGCAAACAGGGGTCCGATTCTTGAATTCATTCGAAGCAGAAACGTATACGAAAATTCTGCTCTGACAAAAAAGTTGAAAGTCGATTGGTTAAAGGCCACGCGAATAGCCAATCAACTTGCAACTTTTCTGTAAGAGCAGAATCTTCGCATACGTTTTGCGGGGTCTACAATGCGAGTCGTAGTCGTAAAAATAACCGACTGCGATTGGTCAATTTCGTTAAACACATAAGAATTGACCAATCATAGTCGATTTTTCTTACAACTACGACTCTGCGACTCGCATTGTAGACTCCGCATTTCTCCTTCGAATATAAATTCAAGATTCGAGCCCCAGGATTCGCTCATACTTGACGCCGACTGAATGTATTTTTAAATAATTTCTATATGCAATCGTTTGTATTTCGTATGTAAACGTTTCTAGTGCAATTAGAAAGGTTTGTGAGTCATTCGTTTGTTTGTAATTAATTAATTATTTTTCCACCGTATACTTAGCGCAATAGATAAATTAGATAAAATTTTTATATGAAATCGTTGGTATTTCGTATGAAGACGTTTGTAGTGCAATTAAAAAAGTTTGTGAGTGATCCAGATAATTTTAATTAAATATTTATTAAATGGAAGTTAGCCGGATTCAAAATTTAATTGATTTCCTATCTATGATACTGAATGATTTAAAGGTGCATTTTCATGCTGACGCTTGACGCTCACTTTGAGCGTCAAACTAGTTACTTTGGGGACTTTTTTGAATTGTAGCGTTAAGTAG